TACCCAGAATCATGGCTATTGAGTTAGTGTTCAATAATTTCAAATATAATTTCAGCAACTAATAAAGTTAATTTCGATAACTATGAAAAACTATTTCGGCATTTGGTGATGATTATTTATTATCAAACTTGCCGTGCAATTATCAAATAATGATATTAAAGTTTACCGAGCAATTTATCAAACCCATCAAGATTGTCGTCAAATACGTTGGCAAAAATATTTATTATAAGCAAGAATAATTAATAAAGTCGGGAGAAAAAAATTTGCACAGTATAAATATGTTATTTACTTGATATATAGTATATATGCATATTTTTATTTTATTTTTTATATTTATTGCCAAAAAGTTCAAATACAAGAGTAGAATAAAATTTTCGATTTGTATTCGTTTGAAATGTGAGACCCCCATTAATCGTCACGGCATTACATGCCTTTCAGAATTAATTGGAATATCAACCACCCTTCAGGAGAACACGTTGCCACGCGTCTCAACAGAATTTAAATCACTAATGACTATGCGGCCTCTATACAAGATTGTGACCATAAACTATAGCAAAAGTGATGAAGTTTATTATATTTGGTATAGTAAATCAATTGCCTCACCCTAGTAATAATAATACTAGGACCATGCATAATTTAATAATTAAAAAATTTAATAAATCTGATGTTTTCAGGTGTCAGATTTAAGAGAATTATCCTTTATCCGCCTATGCAGCATAGTACACGTAAATACATGCACCCTTGTTATCCTGTGACTTAGGCAGACGCTTTAGTCCAGGGACAATTCGCTACATAGGAGAAGCACCTTGTATGGCTTCGAAATGCAATCCAAAGAAACTTGGAGCCTCCCTATCACACTCCAAGCTCTATTGCATCATATCTTCGTGGACATGAGAGTCGGATTCACTTTTCGGGAGTTAAGGATAAGCGAAATTTAAGTCTTGAAAAAATAAATTTTAAAATAAAAACAAACAAACAAACAAACAAACAAATAAATAAATTAATAAATAAATAAATAAATAAATAAATAAATAAATAAATAAATAGATAGATAGATAGATAAAATAAATGGAATGTTGAAAAAAAATATTTATATTTACATTCTATATGCCCGTTTGTTGAAGGCGGCATATACGTTAGATATCTCTCGTTTCTTCTGTGTCCTCGCTTCTTGAGGAGAGTTTTATCAACAACAAAGCAGATAAAGAAAATTTTATAAATAATAATTAATAAGCATAATTGAAATGGATAGATTGGTGCTACAGTGGACGACAGAAAAAGCCATCAACTAGTTTGCCAGAAATGGTATCTGAGACCAATATTTACATTCTAATTTCGTTAGTCAACTACTTCCACATGACATTTTTCCACCTATTGACTAAGCTCTTGCATCATAATGACCTTCATAAATTTTATTGGCTAAATTTGTATATGTAATAAGATTATTTGCCACCTCATAAATACTTCTTGCATCACTTGTTTAACAAAGTGCACTAACCAAATTAGTCTGAAGATCTTTGGTCAAATTAAATCCATCAACTTTCACTATCGCTATTTATCCTCTCTTAACATGGTATTGCTATTTCATAATGTTAACATGCAAGTTTACACAACACAAAGCTTACAAATTTTTAAATTACTAAAATGCAATAGTTGTTGAATTTGGTGTTGGTCAATTAGCTGGATTAATTGGTATTTTTAACAGTCTTTTACCAATTTTATCAATTATTACTACTGCATAACAATATTATTAAGAGAACGACTGTTTTAGAGCAGACAACATCAAGTAAAGTAACTGAAGCAAGCCTGCTTAGTAAGTGGCCAATCTGTTTTAAGTTATAGGACGTGGTATCATATAAACATAATAAACTTTACTTACTTCTTGGAATATCTTTAATAGTGTTATTTGGAGTATCAGCTATTACACCACTTGGTATTCATGCATCTCCAGTACATACTGTGAGATCATGTCTGAGTCTCACATTTTGGCAACAATGACAGGACCACAATCTTCAAGATAGTCTTCATACTACTTGAATCCGAATATTGTGGTCATCAGCCTGAATTAGGGTAATAAAGAAATAGATAAGACACCACAGAGTACAGAGTATAATGAAGAAGTACAGACCCATCCAGAGGACCAGGAATTATTTGAAGATGAAACCAATTCAAGCCTATCAGTGGTGATAAACAGCGACATAATTCAATTCAAGCTTCAGAAACTGATGTGGACTATATGTCAGAAGTAAAGATGGCTTCTCAATTAATTGTGGCTAGTTGCAACTAATTGCGGCTTATAAAAATTGAATTGTGGTTGTGGTTGCAGCATACGAAAATTGAATTGTGGCTAGTTGCGGGTTCCCATCTTTAGACAGAAGAAGAAAGTACAAATCAAGTAGTGAATCCAGATTTAATAGGCTTTAGTGAAAATCAAGAGAAAGAAGGAGTGAAAATTAATTATATCATACAAAGCCACAGTTTAAAAACATCTTTTACTCCTTTATTGCTCATATCTTCATGGCGGTTGTTGGGTTCATGATTGTAATCATCAAATTTATGGTTAGAATCCTATATAGAGCTATTATCAATGCCAGTAGTACTTCATCATCACAGCCATTATTGTGCTCATGATTGTAGTCACAAATTTTGAATTGCATGAGAATTTTAATTATAATTATGAACACAACTTCAATGATGGTGATGGTATGGACAGATATATCACCATTAATATGATTGCTATTATTGCAATCGCGATGATTAATATCATGAACAAGGTTGTGGTGCTCCTGATCGTTGCCATTGGTATACTTCTAAATATCTGATGTGTCATCTGTTATTTTATCAACGATCAACTCTTATTTCCATGCGTTCTGTGTAATGTTACGACCCGGATTGTTAATGGATTAACGTTATGGACCCGTTAAGAATATTTAAACGCTTTAAGAATCCGTTAGGATTTTTTTCATCCGGATTGGTAGCGGGTTAATCCGTTAAAATAGCAAATATTATTGGATAACATTAATAATATTGTATTAAGGAATTTAAAATGATAAAATATTTATTTATTTAATTTTTAATTATTTCTTTTTAAGAACATAATTTTTTTAAAAATCAGGCTTCATCCGTGTTCTTTTACATGTTTCTCTATATTGTTTAAGAGTTTTCTTTTCATTGAAAAATAATTTAATATTTTTTCTTAAAGAGGTTGAAAGATTGTGATGATATTTTATTTTAATAGTAATATAGGTAGAATCATAATATATTAGATAAATAAACATGATCAAAAAGTCCTCATTTCAGCATTAAAAAAAACAATATTATTGTTAATATTAACGGATCAATGGATCGTTAATTGTAATACTGACATTATCGTTAACGGGTTAACGGTTGCAACACCAAATCCTATAATAATATTAATATTAATATTAATAATAAGCTAACCGTAATCCGTTAACAACCCGTTGTTATTATTATTGTGCAAAATTTTTTAACGTTAACCCGGCAATCCGTTAACTACCGGATAAGGTCATAACGGGTCGTAACACTAAGTTCTGTGAAAATTCCTAGTATTAAATTGTTCATCATTAATATTTTCTATTATAATTTTCCCTTCATTAACCTTCCATGCCTCATTGTGATATATAAATTTTCAGGATCATTATCCATCAGATCTTTCTATTATACCATTTATTCATAAGTTCAACGAGCTTAGAATCTATTGCTTGTATCATGTTATTAAAGTTAGAAAGAGTCTGAAGGAGACACTCTCTTTCAGCTTTATGTTTTAAAAGATTTTGTCTCTAAAAATAATATTAGGCATTATTGAATATATTTTACAAAATATTTATATAATTCATGAGTTTGCTCTCCACTGAAACCCCTTTTTCGGTAGTACCAAAAGCACTTTTGAACATTCACAAGTTTGAAACCTAAACTGAAATACTGAAATTCAGAACTTAAACCGTAACCCAAACCTAAACCAAAAGTCAAACTATGAATACATTTAACTAAAAATCGCTTAATCATTTTCTCAAAAATGTTATCAAAAGATCATTAATCCTGGTTTTTTCTAGCCTATTTTCTAATGATTTTTTCTTATTAATCTTGTTATTAACCGGTTTCTTTTCATTTTGGTTTTCATTATCTGCATTACTATCATTATAATCATTTGTTCTATTTCGCAACATTCATAATCATCTGTATCTCCACAAGTTGCTGGTTAATCTTGGTATTAATATTAGTCACTTCTAAAGCTGAGCCGAGTTTATGCTTAGCTCGAGCTCAACTCGACGTGAATATGCGAATTTGAGCCAGCTTTCATATAAAAAGTGTTGGCTTGAACTCAGCTCGAGTTCAAAAACTTGAGCCAACTCAAAATCTAATATTATTTTTTTATAAAATCACAATTTTGCGGACCGTTGAAAATTATTTGAAGCAATGATAAACTATAATAAATTGCATGACATGCTTGAGTTTTAGAACATTTAAATCATCATAAATGATTTTACGGTAAACTAAAAAATTCCGAAAATTCCAAATGAAAACAATTCTGTGTTTTAATATTCTGTAATATATACATAAGCAGTGTTGGAAATTGAGTGCGCGGGGTTGTGTTACATATTGAATTTAGCCAATCAAATTTGTAGAATTTTAACGTTGATTGGCTAAATTCAATATGATATGTAACACAAACCCGCGCGCTCAATTTCCAACATTGTACATAAGAAAATTGCATTTAAAATTCGTTATACTAAAAATTACTAATCACGTTTATGTTTTTAAAAATTCATAATAACATAATTTAATTATGATTCGTTGAAATGACTATATAAATAAAATTTTAAATGTTTGCTCAGATATTTGTAGAAAATTAAAACGAAATGCAACCGTTTAAAAAATCTTTGTTATTATTGAATTGAGCTAGACTTCCTATTCGTTCGTAATAGTAATACAAATTCTTATACGAATTATTCATTTTATTAGTTTATTCGAATTATTTTATTCGTATATTTATACAGTCATTCATTTATTAATTTTATTAATAGTTTGCAAACTATATAGAAGAGTTTTTTATTTGAAAGTGTATTTAGATTTTACCTTAAGAAAATATTGGCTGAAAATTTTTCAATAAAATAATTTACATTACATATGTAAATAAAATTTCTAATCTTCACCTACTTTTCACTCTCTCTATAATAAACAAATTACATGTAGGGTGGAGACGGTTGAGTGAATTGTATTTGGGTGATGAAAAATGATGACTTTTGATATGCGTTATATATTTTTTGTAGTGAAAATTTGAAAATTATTCTTTATTAGATATATTGGTAGCCATAATTTGTATGCACATTAACCTCTCTATCATTACCTACTTGTAATTGTTTTAGACAATGAATGGCATTGATAAAGACTTGGTTATGCCATGAACTGGCTACCTTTTTTTGAGGAGGGAAATTTAGGAATAACTTCAAAAAATTATTACTTTTTATTTTATATGTTGAGCTTACATATTTAAAATCTCCAAATATATATACTTTAAACTTCCATCTGATTGTGAAATTTAGGCAATGACATTTTGATCAAAAATTTGTTGAGTAATATTTATATAATAAGAGCTGCTACAAAAACATTTAGAGAAATCTTTTATAATTGTGTCATAGCAAACCTTCATCACATCGTCCTTCAGTATCACAACAAAAAAAAAATATTAAAATCATCCAACCTTGCCAAAAAGCCAGAAAATTTTCTTATATATAGAGTCTCTATTTGTAATTCAACCAATCAATTACAAATAATTCAAATAATAACCTTTATCTAAATAGAATGCCAGTGAGAAAGCATTCATCTGGTTATGATGGTACAAACTAATCTTTGTAACTATAAAAGGTACAATTTTTGATGTAACAAGTAGATGAGAAAGTTATGCATGTGGTGGAAGTTATAATATTTTTGGTGATAAAGATACTTCAAAGGTAATTTAATAATAATAATTAAAAATCTTATTATAATTGCAAGGTTGAATGAATTATATCCGTAAATTATTATTTAGGCACTTGGAATGGATTCATTACAACCAGAAGATGTAATTGTAGATTATAATATTTTTGATAATAATACTAAGGTCATGAAAAGATGAAACTTTTTAAGAGATAATCACATTCTTTATTTCTTTGATTTTTGCTTATGGTTGTAGTTGAGCAGCATTAGAGTTCTTGGTGATGCATCAAAAACAAGTTCATAAAAATACAATATAGGTACATGTGTAATATATTTTTTTTTGTCCAACAAAATTGATAAAAATTGCATATTCATGTTATTTTTTTATTATGTGATGGTGGTGGTGACAGATCACTTTTGTTTTTTAAAGAAAAATCTCTGCTTGATTTTTTGGACCCAATGTTTGATGATCTTGTAAGTCATCATTATTTATTATCTTCTTGATTGAATTTCAATTTATGCCGAATATTGTAATCGATCCTAATAGTAAAAAGGAAGGACTTGATTGATATCATTGAATGCCCTCCACCCATTTTTTTTATAATTGTTTTTAATTATGATCAAAATGAATACATACTTGTTTCGAATCTTTCAAATACTTTATCATTAATCAAAATTTCTATAGCTCGTTCTTTTTTGTTGATATAAAAATCCACTATGCCATACCTCTGAAGGAAAAATATATGTACTTGATGATATGATAAACTTGCAAAATTACTTACTCTTATACATAAAAAAAAAAAGTAATCAACTTGAAGTTTAAATTGGTAGGTTAAAATATTTTAAAAAATGGTATAAATAAAATAAATCTAAATTGCCAATAATTCAATAATATTATATTAATTTATTTAAAAGAAAGTTTATTATTATAAAACATAAAATAAATATTTGGAAGTTTAATTCAACTTAATTTTCATGATACACATGCTGTAAATATTAATCATCAATATTCCAATTGATAAAAATGCCAGATCCGTAAAGTCTTTTTTAAAAATTAAAGAGTAAATTAGAATAATCATTAAATTTTTTAAAATAAAAAAAAACATTTAGAAATTTTAAATTTTTCTAACCAATTTATACACATCAACAAAAGAACCAATTGTTTATTAAATGGCCTCCTGTGAACTCCAAATTATCTTTATCTCTATAATAATAAAATAAAAGTTATTAACACTAATACTATGATATATACCACGGATGATTATCACAAAATAAAAAAAACATGACTTATCTTTTCTTTATTGTTTCTTTGTCACGTTGAATATCTTTGTTCCCATCTATTGTATCATATCTATTATATACAATATTCATGATGGTTGTATGTTATTATTATTTGAATATATTAAACGTCCAAGTAATGAATATTAAAACCATGCGGTTGAAAATAATAATAAATCTAACGTATTAAATTTGGGTGTCAGATTTAATAAAAATATCCTTTCACTTCGTTCAAGCGCCTGGGGACAATTCTCCTGGCAATGAGTACTGATATGTCCAAGAAACTTGAAAAAAGGAGGCCTATGCCTAGAATTTTAAGCTCTTTAAATTCTTTGAAGAAAACCTTCATGAGTTACAGGCCCTTCCCGCGAATCGCTAGAATGTCTTTTCCGTGGCTGCAACTTGATGATGGCTGGCAACCACCACCTTTGCGTCATATAAAACTACTTGCAACACTCTATTTCAAAGGCGGTTGAAACACAGGAATGCAACTCTTTTTACATGAACCATGCGGCTTAAGTCATTTCGTCCACAAGGATGGAGTGTTGCCCTTTTTTGATCAAGGATGATTGAATGTTTGTATATTAAAGAGGCAACACTTAGAATGCCATCTTAGATGTCTTCAAAATGATAAGGTATGTTGTCCTGGTAACTCCATAAGGTATACTAAAAAAGATTAATACAGTAAAAGTGAAATAATGTATTAAAAAAAAATTAGCATCTAACATTTAAATGTACATGTTGCAAATACTTGTTATTACTAATACATACAGATGGTTTTTGCAACGAGTGATAGGTTTTGTTGTTCTCTTTGGGTGGATGTTCTCCAGTGATTCCTGTCGTTATTAATGTTAATAGCGCGTAAAAAAGGATCTTTTTTTTTTTCTGTGTATCTCAGTGAAATTATCCTTTTTTTTTTTCTAGATAGTTACACGAATCAGATCAACGAGGCCCATATCATATTTTAATTAACACGCGTTTTGTAAAAATTTAATTGTCATTTTTTATTAGAAACAAATTATGATGTTAATAAACTTATCAAACTTATCATTTTGAAAATAATTAAAGAGACATAAAAAAATATAATAACCCATCCTTTCCATTTTATTAGAAATACCATATTTGTTTTAGGGTCATCTGAACTCTTTGGAATCTATATTATCATCAGAGTCCGTATGAGAATTTATAATGAATTCAGCTTAATATTTGTTTGCGTTAACAATGTTAAATAGCTTACCGTCTCCTATTCTTTTAATGCCATGTACACTTTCAATATTATGCTCCTTTATAATGGATGCAGATGAAACGAAGAAGAGAGCAATAATAAGTAATACTTTTTTAGTACTAAAAGAGTATTAATTTGAATCATGTGATTGTTCGTTTACCTTCTGTTGTGGGTTTTCATAAAATTGAGAATCATCACTCTCTTTGTCGTTATAGTCAACTTCAAGGCCAAGCTATTTATCTAACTCATCCTCATTGTAGTTTTTTATAGTTCTAGTTACTTTGTAAATTTTATTTGGGTTATTTTTATTGGAAATCTAATGACAAGGTAAACTGACAGGAATATTTAGGAGTTGGTGTTTAGGATATATTAATCTTGGCATTTTTTTTAGTTAACGCATTAAAATATCCATCCTGAGAACTAATATTCAAAACGTTTAATTGATAGAAGAAAATATAAATAGTTTGAAAAATCAAGTTTCACGACATTAATGTATAAAGTCACTTTTAATGCATATTATAATTTTATAGATAAATGATAAATAGTAATTAATTTATTAAAAGTAATAACAATTTTTGAATTACTTCAATTCTTTGAAGTTATGTTATAAAAAAAAAAAAACATGGTAAACGTGTAAATTCGTCCTTTAAAAGAATATAATACCCAAGGGAATGTTACCATTCATCTGGAATTTCTAATCCAACTTGAGTTGTAATATAATCCGGAACCACGAGTTCAAATTGATTCGATTTATAATCTATCCATTGCTTTGTCGTTTGTTTTGCAGATAGAAAATTGGGTACAGGTTTACTATTATTAGCCTTTTCATTTCGATTTAAAATTTCTGCCTTTTCAAGTTCTGCCAATTTTTTATTATCAAATCTCCAGTCATAAATCTCTGACACAAGATCCTTAGCAGTTGGACGAGCAGCTGGATCCTTATCTAAACATCTTCGTACCAAAGATTTATAAAACTCTGGTGTGTATTTCCCAATATCTGGTCGGGCACCATCACAGATTTGAAATGCAAGATTTTGGTCATATTCTTGATCATGGAATGGCATTTCACAAGTTGCAATTTCACCCATAATAATACCAAAGCTATATACATCAGATTCTTGTGAATTTGGCGTAAGCCCAACCAACACCTCGGGAGCTATGTATGGCATGATTCCAAATACTCCTCCTCGATCATTTTCACCAAGAGGTCTAGATAATCCCAAATCTGCAATCTTAACTTTCACGTCATCATTACTTTCACCAAAAAGCAACAAGTTCCCACTATGAAAGTCAGTGTGCAATAGTCCCACCATGTGAATTTCTCTAAGACCATACGCTATGTTATATAAAAGATTCGCCCGTTGTTTCCATGTAAGGTTCAAATGATTTTTTTGAAGGTAATCCCGCAAAGATCCGAAGTTTGAGAATTCCATCACCATGAGATACTCTAAAGTAGTAGGGTCTCGAGTAACTCCTTGAATTTGGAGAATATAATTCCTATTTTTTACATGTGTATGATGAACCACCTATGATAGAAAATTTGGTATAATTATATACGGTTGTAAAGAAAACTTTTAACAACAATGCAATATAACAAACTACATCTGATGGTGACTATTCACGCAAAATAACTTACTTCATCCATAAATTCATGTTGATTGCTTGCTAAATTAAAGACACTTTTCAAAGCTACTCTAGAGCTTTTCCCTTCTTGTTCATTAAAATAATTTGCAGAATACACTGATCCACAGCCACCTTTGACAAGAAACTTTATATCGGAGAGTTGGTCGTAGTTTATCACTTTTAATTCAGTTTCTCCAGCAATCATTTCTTCAATAGTATCATACTTTTGCCACCTATTAGCCGGTTCTGACAAACCCCCATCAAGTTCCATGGTGGCATCCAATTCTACCTTTTTCCCAAGTTCTCTGCCAAGATTTGCAAATTCATCCATTGCACCAATTGCACCAAATCCACCAATTGCACCGAATCCAAACATTTTAGCTGAGCTACATTGATATAACAAAAGTTTATTAGAATCATTGTATGCAATTAACTATAAAACATCACAATTTAAAAATTCTGGAAAAAACGAGTTGTATAAAATTGACATTACTTGTAATTTTCCAAATTTGATTTATATTTTTAATCTTCTAACGAACGTCGGATTAAACGTCCTTTTATTTGCAATAGTAATAACAGATATAGTAACTTATTTTGTACGTAAAAAAAGAGTAAATAATAGTACAAAATGGATAATACACAATCCTTTTATTTACAAAAATGAATAAGTGTAACCAACTTGCTAATGACTTTCAAGTTTGGAAAACAAAAATGGATTATTTTTATATTATAAGTAAGTTAGTAATGAATTATCTTTATTTAACTTACTTTTAATTCATCAGACACATTGCAAGTCCTTGATTTATTATGTATCACACCGTTTTTTATTTAAATGCAAATATCACTTCCGCAGCCAAAAAAAGGTAAATCGTAAGGGAATATACGAATGCCATTTCCATTGCTTATACTAAAGACAAAGCTTTCTGTCATATATTTATATGCATCAAATTTATTATATTACTCCAATTAAGTGGAATACATTCTACTAATTGAACGGAATATTGTATTTTGGCAAACTACATGAATTTTACTGATATTATCACGTTTTTTATGAATATAAATGAATGTACGAT